CCGGAAAGCTTTGAAAATTTATTACGACAGGGGAAAGGGAAAACTTAAAGCAGTTCAAGATATTTAGTCTGCTGATAAGAGAGCTTAGGAGGGACAATAATTATCTGCAAGAATTTGAAGGGTCATTAAGAGGATATAAGCCGGCTGGGTGCCATCAACTTGGACACCGGAAATTAACTTAAGTGATACCAAAATGAGTTGGAGTCAGAATCACAGAAGGTCAATAGTGATGCAGATCCTCACTATACAAAAGAAGCATCGGACAGGAGCTTGTTGGAGACCTGTGGGGTGGGGTGGCCTGCAGATACCAAACCGGAACCATCCCTTCATCAACCAATTCCCGGGGTTTGTCTCATATCCAGGTCTAGAAGCAGAATCTAAACTCGCCTCTTAGATTTATAGGTAAAGAAATAGAAGATCACACGTGGCAGGGAACCTGCATAAGCAGTGGCAGCTGGTCCAGGATGGAGCAGTCAGAACTGCTGTCACCTTTATTCTAGTCCCAAAGGAACGCACCAGTGGCTCCCTCCTTTCCTGACTGGCTGGCCCCAGAAAGGAAGCCTGTGTCCTGTCCTCAAAGCCACAGCACCATCCTCAGCCCCGTGGGCTGGGTCCATGTCTTGTGGCCCTGGAGATATAAACTCCCAGTGCTGACAGGGCCCGGGCAGCAGGCTAAGGAGGCTGGCAGCCTTTCTGCCCCCATATGCCACCTAGAAACAGGAGACAGCAGAGGGTGCTCTCCAGTCTGGACCCACTGGGCTCTGGACATGCCTTGCTGTAACAGACAATGCCTAATGGCTAAGCTCTTAGGCTGACAGCTGCAAGAAAGGAGCACCCAGGGTTTTCAAAAGCAGTTGTCTGGTCCACACACTTTAAAGTCCAGTTGTATCTAAACCTAGTTAGAGTTGCCCTTGCTCAAGATTCACAGCTAAAACTCAGCCATTTCCCAATGCAAGGAGACAGGCTGTTGGGGCTGCAGAGGGGCCCTGCATGAGTGGGCCCTAAGCCAGGGGCCCCTGCTGTGCTTCCCAGACTACCATCTCACAGTGTGGGAAGGAAAGGGTGCCTTTTGGCTCCTAGAGTCAGAGTCACAGCTCAGCCCTTGGAAATAACAGAAGCAGGAATGCCATGTTCCCTCTGAATGGGCATTGTACTTCCTGGCACCCAGGGACCTAAGCAGGTAGCAAATGCATATTTGATAGCATTTCTCTGCAAGTGGTCTCCCTTCCAAAGATCCTAGCTAGAACAAAGCCTGGCACAGGGCAGACAGAGGAAAAGTGGGGCTGTGGGGCCTATTCAAGAGGCTGGGGGCCTCGGGGAGGGGCTAGACAGAGAGGTGCTGACATCAGTAAGTCACCATGGCCATTATAATGGCCATTATGCTTCCCAAAGGTGCAGCATTCACACACACCAGACTTTCGGGAAAAGAGCTATAGACCCAGCTGAACAGCTGGGAAAACAGTAAAAATGAATGAAGCAAAGAAAAGTCTCCCCTAGTAGCCATGGCCCACCAATCCCAACTTCCCGCCAACCCAATCAGAAAGAACAGAATACAGATCTGATCCTTTACTAGTCACTGCTCAAAGGAGACTGAGATTGCCAGCAAAATGTGATTAAAAATAAATAAATTAAAGCATTAAGGGGACAGCTGATGCATTACCCCATCAGATCAAACACCTGGACATTTGCCACCATGTACAAAAATACAGTGTATTCCAGACTTTTCAAAGATATGGGGATCTTGTAGCTCTTTATTGCCTTTTAGGAACCCAGTCTAAATGCTTGCATGTCTCTCTTGAGCTATAACTGCAAATGCAAAATGCATTTAATCCATCAAGCAGTGCTGCGTTGCCAATACCACAGAAGGTACTAAAAGGGAGTCATTTCCACGGCAGGCTTCAGAAGTGGCTGAGAGTGACGGAGCTCAGCCTTTTCATCCTGCTAGCCCTTCTCACTGAATGCCACTCCTGACATTTGATCTGTCTGTCCCAGGGACTCAATACCACTGCAACTGACTAGATGTCACAGGAGCCATGCAGAGCTCCTTTCTTCTGCTCCGTACTTCCTCCCTGCATGGGCCCTGCTTTCCAAGAGTGTCCTGCAGTTCAATCATTTTCTTACCAGAAAGCCGTGAGGGGACTGGACACTGGAATCTGTGTGGAATTCCACAGAAGGAAGTCAGGACTTCAGCTCAGCCGTGGACCCGGGTTCTCCTCCTGCTCTAGTCATGTCACCAGTAGATGAAAGTCCCAGAAAGACCCCCAGAATCTGATTATTCTTTGGTTCGACTCTTTCCAGAAGGAGAAAGCAGAGAGTCCTGATCTATTAAGGAGAAAGAGAATGAAAAGCTAAGATTACAGCATGTGAGACTGGTAGAAATACACACACGTTGGGGCTGGGGATTTAGCTCAGTGGCATAAGCCCCTGCCTTGCAGTTGTGAGTTCGATCCCTGGTACCAATAAAAATGAAAAAGACAAAAAAAAAAAAAAAAAAAAAAAAAGAAAGAAAGAAAAAGAAATACACACACGTGCACGTACAGTACAGGGGGAAACAGCTAACTGGAAGGTCGGGTACTCTATAACTGCATTATCCCAGTTTCCATGGTGGTAGATTTCTACCAGACAGAGCCCCCAAATGGAGCCCTCTAGGGGACTTTCAAATCCAGCTAGGACCAAAACCTGATCAAGCATGCTAGCCAGTCTCAGACTGGCCAACCTCAGCATCAAGAATTGTGCTTCTTCCTGCAGGACAATGCCACTCTGAGATCTCGCAGCCCCCCTGCCTGATATGTTAACCCACACTTCATCCTGGAGAACTGAGTTTAGGAGACCACTCCTACAGCAGTTCATCCCCAGCCAGATAAGGAAGTCTCCTGAAAGACCTTGCCTTCTTCTAAGAGAAAGGCTCAGAAGAACAATCCTCTGAATCCAAGGGCTGCGATAATACTTTGAAAATGACTTACTTTTTTCCCCTCCAAGTTGTACAGGCAGGGAAGACAGCTGACTGATTTGTGGCACGTAAAAATTCTTCCATTTATCTTTAAGTGAGAACATTCTTGGCATTGTGATCAATTTCAGCCTTTTCACCACCCCATCAACAGGTTCTCGAACGTGGACTTTGGTAGAGACGGAGATGGAGTCCCTACTGAGGAGTGAGCAGGTTAGGACAGAGGGCAGAGGGCTGAAGCACAGCTCAAGAGAAAAGCACGGTTGTCCTTAAACACACCCACTACCAGCCCAGTTGTATGCAGCTCGGTGCTCAGCCCTGGGTTAACAGCTCCACAGTGTGCCCATGAATTCTCCCAGCAGCAGTGCCAGGTGGGCTCTCCTACCCCATCTAACACAGAAGCAGCCTTGAGAGTTTAACTGACATTTTTTTCTCTCCAAGGCCTGCCTCAACCACACAGAACTTCTTCACTGCAATTTAAAACACAAGATGCAGAAGAAGAAAGGTCCCCTTCAGTGTTCTTTCTCACTAGAGGGAGATGTGTCATTTGGTGCACAGATTAACCAGCCCAGGTTTTCTCACTGTTTCCAAGTAACAAACGTGAACAACTCTACGGGGCCAACAAGGAGCCTCTGGGAGCTGCTTTAAAAGCATTCTGCACTTTATAGGAAACCATAAGGACCACAAAGCAGCTCAGTTGCTTTTGCAATTGCATTCAATCACACAATTGTAAATTTGTTCCGTTTGATTTCTTCTCCATTTGCGTTATTCACCGTGAAATTAATATATCCCTCCAACAGCACATTTATTAAATAGTTCAATACGACAGAACACATGACCCAATGTCCTACACAGAAACATCTGGCATCATCTCACTGCCCTGGTCAAATACTCAAGGCTCACACCCTCAGCACCCCAGGAGAGCCCCTGCTGTGTCACAGAAAAGCCAAGGGAGCCCCAAGTGACACCAGGAGGTGCTGCACAGTCTGCTGTGGGCTGGGGAGGGAGGACAGGGCACCAACCACAGTCTCTGGCGGGCCTCCTGAGTGGTTGGTGGCGCCCGAAGATGGAATACCTGCAGACTGTCGGTGCCTTCCACCTTCCCTACGCGCCAGTGCCCCGCCTCCCGGGGACAGCGAGTGACTCCACAGACCCAGGGCCACAGACCCGCGTGGAGGAAGTGGCTGGGAGCTGTCCATGGTGGCGCAGCGCTTGGCACGCAGAGAGCCGCCGGCTCCAGCCCCGGGCGCGCTGGAACGCTCTCCAGACCGCGGCGGTGGAGAGACTGCCGGGCTCCCCGCTCGCGATGGGGCTGAGCCAGGCGCTGGCGCACACTTCAAAGGTTTAGCTTGGAAACGGAGCTCTTACCTGCAAGCGCTGCTCAGGGCGCAGGACTCCGAGCCTCGAGCCTTGGAGCCGGTAGCTGGCGCACCCAGGACCTCCTTGCCTCTCGCCGGTCCACTCCACGTCGTCGCCGGCTTCGTTCCCCGGGCGGCAAGCTGGAGTCCAGCCAAGACCCTGGCTGCGCCCCGCCGGGACGCTGTCCTTCCGATTCACCCGAGGCCACCCTCCTGCGCTGCCAAGTCTCTGCCGGCGACCTGCGAGTCTTCCCCGCGCTGCCAGGCTTAGGACAGCAGCCTGAGTACTAGTGGGGCCCCTGAGGCCACCGACGTCCTGCGGTGCCCGCGTGGCGCGGGGAAGCCGAGGAGACCCGAGGGGACGTGCGGAGTCCGAGCGGGACGCAGACCTGTTGCAGCCGTGCGTCCGGGAGCACCCGCAGCCTCCGGCTGGGCAGATAGGATCTGCACCTCCTTCCGAAGGGGACGGGGCAGGCAGGGACGCCCTCCCCGAGGGGTGCGCGCTGCTGGGGACTCGGCGCACCGAGACCTGTCCCGAGCACGGGACCCCATGTTCAGGGAGACTCGTGGAGGACAGCGCCAGACCCACGGACACACGGACAGGCGGACGGCACGACACTGGGGGCCGGTAGGAGCCGTGAGAGGGACGCGGGACCCCACACACGCACCTGGCCGGACACCCCTAGCCCACTTACCTCCGGGGGGCGCCTGGCGAGAGACAGTGCAGAGATCGGCGTGGCAGGCGCAGTGAAGTCGGCCTGGAGAACTGGGTTCGGACCCGGCTTTGGCGGGGCCGCGGTCCCTGGGTTCCAGCTCGGCTCGCGCTCTCCGCTGGCTGCCGCCAGCCAGGACACCACTTTTATAGCAGAGCCGATTGGCTGGCCCCGCCCCGGCCCCGCCCCCGGCGCCCTACCAAGCGGCCGCCCTACCCCCGGCTGCCGGGAGAGGGCGCTGGAGCCCGAAGGAGCGGTGAACCGCCTGCCTGGGCCGTGGGGTCACAGAGAGGCAGGCAGCTCTGAGTCTCAGAATCATTTTCTTTTTAAACCCATACCGCCTCAGAGACGTGACTCAGCGATCCTCCAAAAGGAAGATGAGACAGCGATCTGGAACTGAAGTCAGACAGGCCAGTGGGCCTCAGTCTGCACGTCAGGAGAGTGGGGCTTCTCCTGAGCAACATGTTGGCCAGCTCAAGGAAATATGGGTACTGGCCCTAGCACGTACTCTGGAAGTTGGGGTGCCAGAGCTGAGCACCTCTAGATCAGAGACGGGCCACTCTTCTCAATGTTAAGGCCAGAAGGTGCAGCTAGTGATGGTCCCTGCTGGTGTGAGAGTGCCCGTGAGAAAAGTACACAATAACCGTCCCACAGCCTCTGGAATCCATGTGGCCACTAACTTGCTGTGTGACTTCCTGTTGGTCACTTCCTCTTTGGGTCTCTGTGGTTTGCAGTTTTCCCTGGCCCTTTGATTTTAATCTGCAAAATGAGAGTTTGGGTACCAGCTCTCCTTCATCCCTCTTCCTGGAGCTGCTCCCAAGCCTGTCCCAAGGTAGCTGCATTCCTGGTGTCCTCTTCTTCCTCCTCTGCCAGTGTTCTGTGGGCACCAGCTCAGCCTGAATCTCGGACAGTGCTCACAGGCTCCAGAACGGACAGGTGGGCCTCGGTGCCAGCCTGGAAGGTTTTGTCCATGTCGTGGCTAGGCAGCAGCTTTGGGCCCCTCCAGATCCTGAGAGCACAGCCCTCACCCCTGGCCCTGTCTGGAAGCTGGGCTTAGACTTCCTGGAGAAAATGATCAGGAGTCTCTGCCCTTCCCAGCTTTTCTAGGAAGTAACCACAGGACTCTGGGACAAGCTGTGGGCCCTTTCTTCCTCTCTAGTAAGGCACATCAAGCCTCCCCAGAAGAGGGCTGCCTAGGCCTCATAATCCCAGACATGAGGCCCTCACCTCAGCCTTGCTGAAGAGTGTGAAAGGGTCCTCTGTGCTCCCACAAGAATTAGAGGCTACACGCTGTGAGCCTGTATCCAGGCTTTGGTGCTAAAGACAGACTCCGGCCCAGGGATGGGATGGGATGGGGGGCTGAGTCATGCTTCACACTGTCCGTATCCCCTGGACTATAGGCCAGTGCCCCAGGGGAAAGCAATGCATATGAACTGCAGACAAGCAATTCTGCAGTCAGTCTGCACTCAGGACATCCATGCACCCTCGTAAAGGATGGTGTGTGGGTCATTCTTTCTGAATGAGTATTGGTGAAAATAGCCTAATGGCCATATGACCTACCTGAAACCCAGGGCTCACCAGTGCAGAGCAGAGATGCCCAATAAAGGGAGTCTTTAGCTTCCTGGTGCTTACAGGATACCCCGCAAAGACTTCAGGGAGAGAAGATGTGGTTGCCAGGGTGCCACCTGCCACCAAGCGCAGCCTCTCATCCTACCCCATCCCCCAACCCACCCACTCCCCGCCATGTGCTGCCACAGGATGTCCAGATCTGGCCTTGGGGCTGCTGACCGAATTCCAGCCCACCCCTCAGGGCTAGGGTTACCACGTTCCACCTGCTGATCCACACAGCCAGCCCCCTACTCCCACCAGGAAGCAAGGAGAGCTGCAAAGCCAGATGCAGAGTGGGCTGCAGACCTTAAGGTTTTAGAAAAGGAAAAATCTGAGGCACGCCCACCCTAGGAACCGTGGGGAGATTCAGGAGCAGATTCACATTCGGCCAACAGGCGTCGCCCTAGCATACTGAGCCAGCAGCAGGCACCAGCATTCCTGGCTGGAACCCCGGGCGGGTCTGCAGCGCTGCCTGGGCTTGGTCTCCGTTTCCTTACGTATGGGTGGAGCTGCCTGGTAAGAGGGACACAGGGAGCGGACTTCGTTTTTCTGGGGTGCGAAGTTCTGCGAAGGGCCTTGGCACAGGAATGCTAGGACACAACTCCAGACCTGGGAAGGTGGACACCCCAGTCCCGGCTCCTCACACCACTGGTCCTCAAGAAATACAGAGTCCCCCTCAGTGTTCCACAGCTAACATATACCCACACTGCCTGTGTGCACGTGACCTTTTCGTGACATTCCTTCTTAGCACAAAAATCGTATGCAAAAAGCAGAATATGAACAAAAGACAAAAGACTTCTCGTCTTAAAATATAGGAAAAGCAATACAGAAAAAAGCACTTTTCCAGGATCGTATCTATTAATTTTAGCTACCAGCCCAACACTTTCTCCTGTATGTTACATACATAGATGCAGAAACACATGCATGTATGTGACAGTTCCATCCAGCAGTTGGCTCAAAATCATGTCCTCACTAGGCAGCTCTCTCTGAGAAGGCGGGGAGGTCCCCAACACTGTCCAGCAGGGAGCAACACTGTCAGTATTTACATTGGCAGGGAAGAGATAGGTCAGTGGGCGTTCTTATAAAGATAACATTATTCAAGGGAAAAGGAAGCCCGCAGGTTTGCGGAACATCTGAAAAAATTTCCAATTAATCCACAAGGGAAAGGGCACATACTAAAACTGTACAGGCATATCCATCAGATTGGCCAAAATCCAGACGTTTGACACTCAGGGAGCACTGGGGGCGGGGAGAGTGCAGAGTGGTCCCTCACGTGTCACCGATGAGAGTTTAAATTAGTACAGTATGTGTTGGAGGGCAGGGAGACAGGCCTGATGAAATGTACATACCATTTGACTCAGCAATTCCACTCCCAGGAATTTATCCTGCAGACACATGCAAAAATTATTAATGCCAGGTTATAGATAGCAGCTCTGTTTGCAATCATTTCTTTTTTTTTTTTTTTTAAGGAAACAGACTAAATATCTAGCAATAGAGCAAATTAAATAAATTATTTTACATCTATATGATGAAGACTAGCCGGCTTTTGGGTTGTTTGGGTTTGCATAATAGCTATGCATAGTTATCACACTTGTAATCCCAGCTACTTGGGAGGCTGAGGCAGAAGAATCACAAATTTGAAGCCAGCCTCGGCAACAGAGCAAGATCTTGTCTAAGAAAGAATGAGAGAGAGAGAGAAGGAAAGAGAGGGGGAAGGAAGAAGGAAAGGAGGGAGAGAGAGGAGAAAGGGAGAAAGAGGAACTGCTTTATAAACAATTTTTGCCAAAATAAAAAAAATTTAGAGCCAGGTACAAGAGCACACTCCTGTAATCCCAACTACTCAAAAGGCTGAGGCAGGAGATTCGAAGTTTCAAGTGAGCTTGGTAGATGGAAGCTAAGTCAGGCTGCAAGGAGGGTTTGAGACAGCCCTGATACTAGACAGTTTTCTGGACATGTATTAAGGAAGCATTGAAAAGAAAATATAGCCAGAGTTCTTTCAAAGTAGATTGTCTTGGTTATTTTTCTCTCTTGTTGCTGGGACAAAATACTCAACACCCAAAATGAAGGAAGGAAAGGTTTATTAAGCTTACAGTTTATGGAGGTTTCAGTCCATACTTAGTTGGCGTCAAGGTAAGGTGGCACCCACCCCTAAGTGGATGCAGCCCTCACACCGTCAATCCCAGCGCTAGACAATGAACCAATCACAAATGCTAGACTTAGCTGCCTTCAAAAGGTCCACATCCCATGACTTCCTGGGGCTTTGGGGGGACATTTAAATACAAACCATAACAACAACCCACTTCTACGGAGAATTTCTCAATTACTTTTCCCTTGGATAAGATCCAGAGGGATTGTGTGGCCTCAAGATCCTGCAGGTGGCCTCCACATCAGCTTCCACTGTCACCATCTAACTGAGTCTAATGCCTTATACCACTGCTCTGTCGTGATGCCCTGTCACCATCTGTCTGGCTCACTCAGCATTGCCATCTTGGTGTTTTTTTTTAATGTACAAGTATATTCCTGCTTGAAGTTTTTGTGTTTATTGTCCCCCAAACCAGCAGGACCAACCCATCCTTACTCCATGTTAGCTTCAATTCAGCAATCCCTGACTCCAAAAAGTACAGGGACAGCTCTAGCCCTACTACGCTCACCTCTGCTTTTCCAGACTGACTCTCACCTGCGTTACCTGATGTCCCATCACTGATGCTGTGATATCAGCGCATTTAAATGGAGTTAAATAAATCATTTTGTTCACTGCCCCATTGCTGGTGCCAGGCATCTGTTGGCTCATGGAGTATGCTTTATCCTAAACAGGATCTCACTTGGACTTGTGAAGGTTTTGAATCTTTTTCCAAACATCAGTTCATTCATTTTTGTTTCCATAATGCCCTTGGGAGCCAGAGGACGCTTGGTTGGTGGCCCCAAGTTTGCATTTCAGAAAAATCTTTTTCTCACCTCTTTTTGCATGGCGAATGTAGAGCTGACCTTCAGCTGTCTTGGAAGCCTGCAGGGTTTCAGAGTAGATCCCAGCCTGTGCTGCCTACTGCCTCTGCCTCCTGCCTACAGCTGTGAGCTCAGAGCATGGAAACCCTATACTCCAGCTCCTCAGGCTCCCCCAGCCCTCTGCCCATCCACAAGGTGGCAAGATGCTGGCCTTAGGCAATCCTGAGCAGAGAGAGAAACATTTCTCTACTATGATCCATACAATACTCCCCTGGAGGGACTTCAGACATGGAAAATAACGCACAGGTAAAATGGTGCTTTTAGATGCTGCGTGGCATTCCCAGGCCACCAAGTTAATCTGCTAGAACACACTGCCGCAGGGCATCAGAACCCAGGACCCAGAAGTGTCACTAGAAGTGCTCCCCAGGGAAAAGGTTGTGCTTCGGTGCTAGTTCAGATCCCAAAGTCTGTAATGAATAAGATGCAGGCAGGGAAAAGGTGGCACTATTTGGTCACTTGGGCTAGTGGTCCTCGCCAGTGTCACAGCTGGCCCATCTCTGCAC